GCACAGAACTGCAGCCCAGGGCCGGTTCTGTGCGCAGTGCAACGCGGTTCCTGCTGCTTCCTCCGTGCAGAGCTGGGTTAAGGCTCCCTTTAACAGACAGCAGCCTGTTCCCTGGGTTTGCAGCTCTAGAGGTGCCCGCGCAAGGTGCCCCTATCCCGCTGCTCTGCTGTGCGAGATGCTCTTTGGCTGAGTACAGAGGCATATTTGTGCCCACAGGGCAGGCAGCGACGAGTTAAGCAGTGCACAGCCCTGAGATACAAACTCGGGTTATCGATTCCAAGATACAGACTGAAGGGAGCAGGGAGAGCTGCCCTGGAGCCAGGCCCTGCTTGGTCCTGCCCGCCCTGCTGGGGACAAAGATTTACCCCCAGGGGACACGGGCCCTGCCAGGAGCTGCGGGGCAGACGCTGGTGCTGGAGAGGAAGCCCAGGCCTGTAAAACTGAGGGTTTTATTGTGTCAGTGCTGGCTGTGAACTGCGTTTTTTTTCTGCTAACCTGAAACAAAATCAGTTGAGGGGGCAGAGGAGGAGGTGCTTGACAGCTGCTGGTACTGCCTGTGCCAGCTAGGAGCAGGGAAAAAGCGAAAGAATAAATAAATCTAAATCTCAGTTTGCGGCTCCCTTGCTCTACCCCGAGTGTTCCTGCAGCTCTCTGGGCGCTCTGAGGAGGACAGGGTTTGGGTAAAGGACAAGGCACACCTTGCTGTCCTTGGCAAGGATCACTTTGACCGTTTGTGGTGTCCCCTGTGCTCACTTCTGATGTGCTGCTGCATAAAAGGAATCTTTTACAAGCAGGTTTTCTTACCCTTTTGACTGTGTGTACATTGATCCTTTAAAAACAAGCTCATCTAATTCCTTCCTGTGTTTTCCTCAGCCCTGCTTGAAGAAAAAATATCAGTGGGTGCTACAACTTCTGCTTGATGTTGTAACTATGCGGGGAGCTGGCGAACAAGAGTCTTTTTGAATGCTTAGAGTCCAACTACATTCTAATCTATCGAAACACCAAAAAAAATCAGACACTTGAGTTGCTCTGGAGAGGAAGCCTAGATGAAGTGACCTTGTGGTGCTGGATGTGCGTTCATGGTAGCCTTGGGCTCCAAAATCATGCGTTCTGTGAAGAGCCCCTTTCATCTGTGCATCTAGCTGATAAGTAATTAAGTCTAATTAATATTTTCACGTAGGGA